TTAACGGGTTATGGGGTACACTTAGTGTGGTGTGTGGTTTGTGTGTGATTGTCTTGCTTAAACTATGTAAGGGACGCGAATACACGTTAGCAGAGCATGTGTGTGTGGGTGTTTGTGTGTGTGTGTGTTTTATCTGGTTCCGGATGGTTAATAATTCCTTTTCTTTATGGCGGTTATTTTTGACCGGGAACACCATGGGTGTTACAAAGTTGACTAAATCATCCAAAATCCAATGAAAGTGGTGATCAGCAATGTAATATGTTCAAATGTCTACTGTGAAGGATATCATAAAGCCTTAATGCAATCGAATGTAAAACAAAAAAGTTGTGATTGATGAAAGTAGTAAATCGGTCAGATTTGACCCGAAGACAACAGGAGGGTTAAGAAGAAAACACGGTGAGCATCAAAACTACAACACAACCATGGTACCGATCTCTCAATCACAAGGTAGTTCCACTTTAAATCAAACCCTGCTTTGACGTCTATTTTACTATAAATAGGACCATAATATAGGAAGTGATCATCATACTGTATTGAAGAAGACCTAAACTAGCAATTGAGAACGTAACATTTTCAGGAAAATCATAACTAAGGCAATACAATACAAATCATGTTCTTATAGAATCTAGTCTTTAAAGTAAACTGTATAACCATACTTGTTTTTGCAACCAGTGGAGTTGCCCCATGCTGGATATTACAGAGAATGCCGGTTTAACGCACTTTGGCATTGGCATAGGAACCAGAACAGCAAACAGGTGTATTTTTGTCGAGGGCTACCTGCCAATTGTCCGACGCAGAGCGAAGGATTAGAGGTTGAAGAATGGCCCCAATGATGAGAGGCTGTTTAAATGAGAGATAACGTTACAAAAAATACTCTTTCCCAACCAACTGAACACACACTGTATGTTAAGTATCACTAACATGGAGCCATGTAGAGTATATTCCTTCAAAGATACACATGTTTACATTCAGCATGTTCACTGCCTAGACTAGAGAGTCAGAACAGTCTCGGGATGTAAAAACAGATTTGACACAGGCGCTGGTCTGTTTTGTTGCCGGGGCTCGGGTGGCTATTTCTGGCCAGGCTCCTATGATTCATCAGGGGCTGTTTGGAGGCCTGACGTGTCAAGATGTGTCATTCCACTAATTGTCACTCTGACTTATCCTAAGCCCCTCTTCAGCCCCTGAGCTCTCTTCTGACCCGAGATAATTCTGGTAAAAAAACTAAGCAGACAGGTTTCGTACACCTCAGGAAAGGAAAATCTGGTTTGGCTCTCTGGAGGTTTAGCGCACAGCTGGACTACAAATATTTTCTGAACATGAAAACAGGTTTCTTGAACTTGCAAGTCGGTTTTTGGATCAATGATAGACTAAAACATTTGTGCTAGTAAATAATTCAGCATTACGCTACAGGGTTTATTCTCAATCTTTTGAAGGTTGAACTTCCCTCCTCTGCACCTGGCATGCATTCAGGTGGTATTTTTTTCAAAAATATTTTGGAAAATCGTTGGCAGAAAAACACTTAAAGTCTTTATGTTTGTTTTGAAACACACACCATCATATTTATCCTTGACTCATGATTGCATTGGTAGTATAAGTAAGGCATAGTGAACCATGAGGTGATTTAGATTTAACAAACACATTCTCGTTATTTTGTCTCCCGCACTTATATAGCCTTTCTTACCGGGATTTTTTTGAATATTTTTATTTTTAAAAAGGAAATCTGTGTTGGTTTAAAAGTTGTTACATCTGAGTCACCCTCAGTTATTACCGCGCTCTAATAAGATATCAGGAAGAAGGTTTCTTTCGGCGTTGAGTTTCGCCTCTGCCTTGTCTTATTGGCAAAGCTGGATTGGTCTGAATGCTACCTGAAAATAACACAACACCACAAAGGCCTGAAAAAGTATTGTATTGCCTAACCATTCTTTTGCGGTCAATATTTGTGTTTACAGTTAATATTTTAGGATTGGTTTCTGTTCTAACTTTAACATTAAAAAAGTAGAATACCCAAGGTTATCCTTTTTTGTAACTTATCTATCAGGGACCACAATGCAGTAGTCTATGCGAGATGAAAATAGAAGCATGTATAATCATTTCTAGGTCGGGTGTTGAAACTACAGACCTCAGTTTACTAATGTTTCGTAAGTGAAAGAAACAAGATCTCGTCAGTTGCTTACATGGATATCAAACGACGCGGATTGGTCAAATATTACCCCTAAGTTACGTAGTTTGGAGTTGGCAGCAGAGGAATATGGTCCAATACTTTTCAAAATCTTGGGTCAAAGTGTGTGTGACGTTCAATATAAAGAGATGTTTCCTACTTATACAGAGCTGACACTGGGTCACATGACATGGAAGGTATTGATAAGACAAGAGCTTTTAAATAAATAAATATGACCTGCACTTTAACATGTGAAGAGTGCATTTATATATTTTATATGATGTGGAAAAGCCTCAAGTTCTATTGCACACTTTATGTTTTATAGGAGCTTATATGTCCTGATTTTAGTTCACTCCTCTAATGCATATTTTTTCTCGCTTCATCTCTGCTGCTGCAAGATCAATGAAGTCCATCTTATCTCGTCTTATCTTAAAACCTACTCTTCAAAACAAGTAGCAACTACAGCCATCAAATGGATATAAAAGTGCACCATGTACCATTGATGTATGGGGGAGAGAAAATACAGTCTAGTGGAATAAAAATCGGTCTACTCTGAGAACCACACTGTACTGCAGCTCTTGCATAATTATACCTCGTCCTCCAGCAGATGTCTACTGGGAGTGAGCATGATTATTAACTCTGTCTCAAAGCTTAAATATGCAGGTCTGTGCTGTCATCAAACTTTTCCTCAACTTCTGCACCACTGGCAGCCCTGATATGATTTATGAAACTAAATTTACTGGACAACAGTGAGCAACAATGCCTGGCTCGCTTTGTGTGCCGCCCGTACCGAAAATAAATGTTCACCTCAACAATGTCACACTGCTACTTGCTATAATGAAATCATTTTTCATGCACATTTACATTCCAATATTATTCAGGAGGCTCAACATTTCCATTTGGGGCATGAAAACACCAATTCCCCATCTGGTATATAAACCCCCATCGTGATTATTTGCTGGGATAGGCTCATATTACCCAGGGTATCCTATTTAATGTATTTTTTTGTGGTCACACTGAGTTTCCTTTTCATAATAATATCCAAAGTATTCGGCTTAATTATGTATGCTGGGGCATTTGTGATTAGGATATGAATATGCATATAAACAGCTTAGCCCAAATATGACCTCAACTGAAGCATGAGCTGGTATCCACAGTATCCTCTCTGTGAGACTGCGCTCAATGGTGCAATGTCATTTTCACTGAAATGTTTTAATAAGCTCATCTTAATAGGCCCACCATGATACTTGTGATTAGAAACAGACGCTGACATTTTTCACACTGCATATTTCTTCAACGATTAGCGTCTCAGTTTCGATGCTCACAGTTCATATTAGTATTTGTTCCTGTACTGTGACATGTCTCCATTCTTTAATGTTCAAAAAGCTCTTTATTTTGCAGCACCTCTTTTCACCCTCTGTCTGAAACCAGAGCCCAGTCTGCTCTGATTGGTTAGCTGGCTGGCTCTGTTGTGATTGGTCAAGATGTCCCGCCCCTTAGCCTATCACTTACAATATGTTGGAGCGCTAGCCAATAGAAGTGCGAGTGTTACGTATGATAACACTATGTTACAGAAGTAAACAAAGGAGTTGAATGGAGACGTTTCAGGCATCTTATATTTTCTTATTCTATATTAAAAGTATGCTTCAAGCTCAAATAAATAGGCCCAGGTTCTTGGAGAGGTTTAAGGGGTCTCTGCCAAAATGAAGGTTGGTTCGATATTACTCTCCCTGTTATCTCCTTTCCGACAATACAGAAAGGCAACAAAGCCTTTAAAAGGCTCTGCGGGATGAAACCTCTATTAAGTCCTCCAGACCTCCATTAGGTCCGGATTGATTTTTACAAAAAAGTTTGGGCAGCTATCTTCTAACTTTATATTCCCCAAAACCCTGAGCATCCTAAAACATCAGGGTTTATACACGTATTTATTTTAATCTCCTCCCAGAGGAGGGCTTTTCTGCACCAGAAATGAGTCCCACTCAAATCTTATCCGCGCCCCTGGGTTTGAGGGGTCTTATCTTCGGTTGTATTTTTAAATAGGATGTACTTTGTCTTGCGTTGACAGGTGAATCCAGGGATGTGACCGCTCGCGCCACGCACGCACCGCTGGAGCACCGCCCTCCTGTCCGCGTGCTGCCGGGAGGAGCAGAGGCTCGAGCACACCGGAGAGGAGCACCAGCACTCACAGCACCGTGGGGATGTGACAGCGATCGCCACAGTTGCGTATGCCCGGTGAAAACCTCCAAGTTTGTCTTCTGTGAGGAGGAGACAAAGGAGACATTTAAACCTGAGAGAGAGAGAGAGAGAGAAGAAAGAGAGAGAGAGAGAGAGAGAGAGAGAGAGAGAAGAAATAAATTGCGCGGAGGACTCAGCCGCTGCAGAGATTTCCAGCGGTGCCTTCTCTGTTTGCTCGTGGACTCGCTGGAGATCGGAGCCCGTGAACCGAGCCAATCAAAGATTTAGGAGACAAGAGAGAGGAAGAGGGAGGAAAAGAAACACCCACTTCTTCAGACTCCCAAAACATCTGCATTTGGAGCCCTGCAGATTTAGAGGTGAGTGCCGCTGTGATCACTCTGAGGTGTTGTGTGCTGTGACAGTGAGTTGAGGTGATGGTAGCTGAAGGACTCCCAGGTAAACACACGTGGTTGGACTGATAAGTGTGTATCGGTGTGTGTTCTGGTTCTTATCGTCCCTGCAGCGTGTCACCAACATGCAGCCCGGGTCACAACTTTACTGCCTCCTCAGCTCGGCATGTGGGGCTGTGTGTCTGATAACATCGGGAATGCAATAAGTCAAACCCAGAGAGCATGCATCCAATTCCTACCCAACCCAGGGAGCAGGAAGAATCAGAGTCCAGATCTTTAGCTGTGTCTTAAAAGCACATTAAAGCTCCACTGGAGACATAAACAACAGGAGGCTTTGTTTATCTAAATGAAATCTTCGCCTAATGGATTTCTGCAAAAAACATACAGGTGCCAGGAGGTCAAACTACACAACTGTGTGTGTTATAAGCAGGGTTGGGAGGGTTGATTTAATAATGTTTACAATGACTTATTACCTAAAACATGTAATCAGTAACCTAATCTAACATCATTAAAAACCTGATTACTTTGTCACTTATGGAATACCTCAATATCAAATGCAATACAAATACACAATATAAAATAAATATCAATAGCATTACGAAAGACAACAGAACAATGTAACCTTAAAAAAGTAGAACTTAAAACATTTCTCGCTTTTCAGTGTTTGCAGAGAAAATAAATTCTATAAGCATAGGCTAATCATTCAATCGTCAATAGACCAACAATGAAAGTGCACAATGCAGGAACACATAGTTTACAACGCATAAATAAAGTGTGTACGCTTTGCAATATACCATTGTTGATTTTAAAAAGGTATTGTAGCATTGAAAGCCTACTAGTTATCCACAATTTTCAAAATAAACCAGTAATCTGATTACGTAATCCCGTTACGTGACAACATGACATTTTTATATTTGGCGAACATTGTTGAACACTGTAAATGTGAAGTTATGCCGTTTTTTGTTTTGGGTCATTATGAATGAAGTACCTTTATTTTGTTTGGACTGTTGGTTCGTCAAACTATTTGGCATTTAGGGCTGTTAGACTCTCAACTTCTTAATACTGTTAGTACATGTTTAACTAAAGGAACATTCAATTAAGAAAGAAACCAAATATGAATTAGCAACTGCGCTTAAAACTAAAACAGACAGACCTGAAATAACTTAATGGTTAAAGTGTAAACAGCTTCTTTACAAACTTTGATATCCATAATGCAATGATTTTCACCTTATGAACGCTGGCTTTAAACTGTATACCGAAGGCACGCATTGTCCTCAATGTCGGCAAAGAATTGCATCATCTGCGGGTCGGCTGACGTCCCGCGGTGCGATGACAGCTCCATGCCTCATCCGACAGGCCTGTAGCTAAACAGCAGCTCATTACAAGTACAGCGGCTCGGCTTTCTTCTGGCAGGAGACTGCCGGCTCATTAGGGGTCACCGAGGGGCGAGTCTCCCTCTCCGAGCCGTGGCTTGTTATAGCAGAGCTCTGTGAAACCACTGTTAATTGGATAGAATTCATTTCCACTGACAGATTGGAGAGCTACACAAGTCAGTAAAAGTATCTGCACTGTGGAAAACTCACAGTTGGACTGATTATTTTTTGTATAATAGCCGTGAGGCAGCAGAGATTACACTGCCACTCCACAAAGGGATGTTTGATCCCTACACTAGAAAATAGTTCACTGTGTCAATGATTTTGTATTCTTCCTGGCTGCAGGCTGCCCCTGATCCTCCGTGTTTGTCTTAAAGAGATTTGTGGAGTATTACATTCTCGGCTTATCCAAAAATGAGCAAAGAGATGAAGACAGCTATAGCAACACCGATCTGTCACTCAAACTGGCAACTCCTTCACTATTCCCAACTTTAAGCCTTGATATCATTTAAACAGGCGAGCTATATACAAAGTACAGTTGTCATGAAGAAAGGAAATAACTAGAGAGATCAAAACATGTTTCTTATAACAGGCTGTAATCTGTTTATTTCTAATGTGAAGTTGAGCATTTTGATATGGGGGACTTTGAACCAGGTGTGACCTTGGTGGAAATGCACATTTTTGTACTCCTGCTTTGGCTTCATTCTTTCAACACCTGAGTTGGGGCTTGAATGCGATTTTTATACAGAACAATAAGGCTGCTGATGTTTGGTTAAAAGTCTGTTTAAGTGCAGTATTTAGAAACGTGACCAGGACGGAATATAGTTTGGATAGTCTTAGAGAAAAAGCTAGATTTACATCAAATAGACCACAGTTCTTATAAATATGTCAGATGAATAACTTCCTAAATTGGTTGTGTTTCAAAATGTCCAACATTTCAATTTATTAACGGCAATATTTATGCTGATAGTTTGGCATTTTAACATAGGGGGCTGTGGCGATTGATCCAGATGTGGCCTTGGGGGTAATGCATTCTTTCATCTGTGAGCTACGATAAAGACATGGTCCCTAAGTGGCTTCCCATCCACAATGAGGCTAACTTCAACCTTATGTTGGTGTGAAGTTTCTGCCTTGTTCTGCATGAGAACAAACTAAAACTACTCTGGCTATTTGGAATAATGTATATTTAAGACATTAAAGCTTTGATGTACATTTACATATATTCAAATTGACTTCAGAGTGGCGAGCCAGCCTAAAGTAGACCAGGTGTGTGAAGACAGTGACGTGGAAAAAGTGCCGCCGCGAAGACATTAGTCCATTGACACATCGAGTACAAATCACAACTGCTCCTAGTACTAGACTCCTGGTGCTAGGATGGGTTAAAAGCAGAGAACACATGTCACTGTGTGTGCTGTGTGCTCTGCATGTGAGACCATTAAAGAGGGTTTCATCCCTCACAATTATTATATTATTATATGAAGGGGTCATGCTGTGCTGTGGCAATAATGAACCCAGTGTGCTGCTGCTTTTACTGTAAAAGCCAATGTACATTATTTCTCCCAGCTAACTCCACTCATGTAGTCCAGACATCCACTCACTTGATTCTTCCGTGAAAGGTTAGACAAATGCCACAAATAATTGTCTGCCTGCCTCTTGACCGCGCTCTTGCCCCCAGAGTGTTACGGGGGTTGATTATCCGAGGTGGCGCGGGTCATGAATGTCTGCAGCTGGAATCTATTGGGCAGCCATCGAGCTTCGCTGTGACAGGGAGGAAGCGAGGCGTACGCGATCAGAGAATGAAGGTTGCTTCAGTGATATTGGATCTGTTCTCCGGTGTGTGAGGAGAAATCTTAACGCCAGCGCTGACTGAATGACTGCGCGTATGACTGACTTCCTGCCCGGCTGAGCATTGAAAGAATGGACCGTACTTACAGCATGCTTAGCGCCGATGCCAAGATTATGAGAGGAAGGAGTTCAGGCATGAATCCAGACTGTATATTCATACACTCGGAGATGCATTGATGTTGCCGTCAAGTGCTTAGCTGGTTCAGTGAGCAGCGTGCAAAGAGTGAATATCATGTTTATTAAGAGACGGGAAGAGGAGGGGTCTCAGGCTTCGGGTATAATATTCACTCCCATATGCTCAACATAATGTTTGCTGCTACTTCAGGAAGAGTGAGTCAGTCGTAGACAGGGACGTTTTTCCTCGAGTTCACCTTCAATCCCAGCATCTGTTGGTGAAGTTTTTTGACGTTCAATTGAAAAAAGTTTTCTTATATAACTTGGTTTCTGAGGATCCAACATAACCTCTTAATTTGGTATTTCAGTATGAAGGAAAATGAAGTCTGCCAGATGTCCATTTTCTTCAAATTCTTCTCCATTTTCACTACAATTGAAGGTGCATTACTGTGTGTGCAAGAGTCTTACTCAGATACCTCATTCACACCAACGCAACTCCGGTTCAAGCTCCATGCTTGAGCTTTTCAGGTTCAGAACCGGTTCTTCGGTTTAGCTCCGGCTCTTTTCACACTGCCCAGAGTCCGACTGGTGCTGCGTCATTGCGTCATCGTTTGCGTCAT